AAAAAAAAAAAAAAAAAAAAACACTATTGTCCACTTATATATATTAAAAAATCCCTAATTTTGGTGGGCTAGGATTGGTCCTTTCTATAAATCTAAGCTCCCCTTCGTGGAAATTACCCCAACCTCCATTTCTACGTAGCTGTTTTCGTCGACTTAGACTATTATTTATTCAAAGCACAACATTTTGGATTTGTAAACATCCATTTCTTCATTAACTCAAATTCTATAAATATTGATTTGAATTCATCTTCTTTGAATCTCGTCGAGTCTCTCAGCTCAGACTCCGATCGAGAGCTTGAAGACGAATAATAAACCAGAGAAGAAGAACGAAGAACGAAGAACGATAATGGTGAGAGCTCCTTGCTGTGAGAAAATGGGGTTGAAGAAGGGGCCTTGGTCTCCTGAAGAAGACAGGATTTTGACTAACTTTATTCAGAATCATGGCCATAGCAATTGGCGAGCTCTTCCTAAGCAAGCTGGTGAGTTTTTTGCTTGTGGGTTCATAAAAAGATTGAGTTTTTAGTGATTTTCTCGGGGTTTTTCTTGGCATCCAAACAGAAAATCATAAACCCAGAAAAACCCATGTCTTAAATTTACTAATTTCATCTTGTTTCGAACAAAAGATTGAATTTTTAGTGATTTTCTCGGGGTTTTTCTTGGCATCCAAACAGAAAATCATAAACCCAGAAAAACCCATGTCTTAAATTTACTAATCTCATCTTATTTCGAAAAAAGAAAGATTGAGTTTTTAGTGATTTTCTTACTATTTCTTGTAGGTCTTTTACGATGCGGAAAAAGTTGCAGACTTCGGTGGACAAACTACTTGAAACCTGACATTAAGCGAGGCAACTTTACTAAGGAAGAAGAAGACGCCATTATTAACCTACACGAATTGCTCGGGAATAGGTAAAAAGACAGTTTTGCTACTATTAGAGATTCAAATCTTCGTATTTTGTTAAATTGGCCTAACATTTTTGTTTGGTTACTATAGATGGTCGGCGATAGCAGCAAAGTTGCCGGGTCGAACCGACAATGAAATCAAGAATGTTTGGCACACTCACTTGAAGAAAAGACTAGAAAAGAACATCAAAACAAAAGCTCCCACATCGGAAAACAAAAGAAAAAAGCAAATAAAACCAAAAACTTCATCAGAATCTTCATCATCCATTGTTATTAACATTACAAATCAAACCCAAATTGCCAATTATTCCTCAATAACGTCCCCTTCTTCACAACAATCTTCAAGCTGTGAGATCTCTTCATCACTCACAGATGCTTCCATGGCTGAAAATGAGTACTACAGCTACCCGGCCGAGGGCACGGAGGCGATGCCGGAGGCTCCACCGCCGATCGACGAGAGCTTTTGGTCCGAGGTGGCTGAGGATTCGACGAACTCAAATTCCATGGATAAGAGTTATGGTGAAAGCGTTGTTGATGATGACATGGAATTTTGGTACAACGTTTTTGTCCAAGCTGGTGGAATTTCAGAACTGCCAGAATTTTGAGACATATTGGGAATTAAGTGGTGAAAAAGAGAAAATTTAAAGAAATTTGAGAGAAATTTGAGAGAAATTTGAGAGAAATTTGGAGATGTGAATAGAAAGGTAATCCAAAATGAGTGATTGGGATTTGTATATTCTTTTTCAAGTGAAAAGAAAAAAATGAATTCTTTATTTCTATTTCTTTTTTATTTGTATTTTTATTTTTATAATTCCACCTTTTGGGAAAAAAAAATATATGAATTGGGCAATCATAAACTCCACCTTTTTCTTTTTTCTAATTCCATCTTTATGAGTCCGAAGCCCGAGAACTAAAGACGCTCGGAGGATTAGAAGACTTCGGGAAGTAGAAGGTTTCGAAAGTCTGAAAAACTTTGAAGACAAGATGAAGATATCTCAAGTGCACAAGTTATCGAGACTTCAATCGACTCTTGAACAAGATTAACGAGCTAAGGGTCAATATATCGTACGAGATCAACAAGACAAAGGGTTGATTTAAGTAGAGATGTGTACTGGGCAAGAGGGGGATGAGCAAGTTGTAACGACCCTATTTTTACTACTAAAATAAAGTTGGTATTATATTCATGACGTGCCTAATATGTGTAAAAATTTGTTTAGAAATATTCACATGCAGACTTCATGGACTTTAATGTTTGCAAAATTTATTTGAAATAAAAGTAAATATCAATGAAATAGCAAAAGTGAAATAACAATATTTTCAAAGTAATGAAAACATTACGATCTAATCTAAGGGCTATAACTTAAATAGAAAATGTAACTATCCTGACTTCGTTCTGTAGCTTGCACGGTGATGACATCATTCGTACAAAGGTGTTTTACTTTTGCTTGAAACATAAGTAGTGTGTGACTTGAGTATTTAAAAATATTCAATAAGTAGCCTCAATTTTGGATTGGAAAATGCAAGCACATTTAATCATAATGAGACCTATTCTTTTACCGAACATCATGGTTTTGGTCTTTACTTTTCAGTTCGGGTAAAATTGAATGTGTAGTATTTCTCTGCACACCGCCCACACACATATATGGACCTACCAAGCGGGCTCATACATGTAGTCCTAAACTATCGAATTATTATTTAACTCAACTTTTGGCTAGAAAACGACTTAAATTGACCATACAGTGGTCATACTAGCCTCGAACACCACTAAAATCATAAAAAACGGCTCCCAAACAATCCAAAATGATATAATGGGTATAATGGGGTCCTCAGACTTTAACCTAAGCTGCCTAGACCGAGAAAACTAAGCTGGAGTCGTCAAGTCGTGTAGCCAAATTGAGGAGTCGGCTGGGCTAAGCCAACACAAGTAGAAAATCCAAGCTGCACGCGCGTCGCATGTGGAATACAACTTCGGGTTGGCTTCCGGGTCAGCGAGTCAGTTTGGGTTGACCCAGGTAGTAGATCGGGTCGGTTTGGGTGGTGGGCTGGGTATTGGAGTTGTGTCTGGGTCGGTGTGTGGGCTGTGGGCCGTGGGCCGAGATCTGAATGCTACTGGACCGCAAATTGAGTTCAATTTCTTAACCTAGCTAGTTCAGTTACGGGCATACGGTTCGGGTCTAGAGTCTTCCGAGGCTCCGACTCAGACTTAGGCTCGAATTCCGCATCTGAGGTTCGGTTCCGAAGCTATCGTTTTTCCAGATTCTTCTTTTGGCCTCTGTTTACTTTTCTTTTTCTTTTTCTTTATGGTAAAGTGACAACTAAGAATGCTATTTTAATGAATAGAGGAAATATTTCATTATTTTAATATTACATTTAAATTTAGTTGTTTTTCAATATATATATATCTTAATTAAGTTTTTTTTTAGTAATACTTCAGTTTAGCTATTTGTAATTATTATAAATTAATAAGAAATCTTGGAAATCTAATTGGAAATAAAATGTAAATTCAACAAAATTACACTTAAGAAATAATAAATTGCAATAAACATAATAGGTTTATCTTTTTTATTTATAATTAATTTGCTTTTGCTTTTGAAACTTACATATAGTACAAGAACATATATATATATATATATATCTTTTTTTTTCTTTTTTTGTAATATTCATAAATTTATATTGTTGTCTATAATTTAAACTAAATATGTAATTTTCTTTTTTACTAAATTAACCAAAATACCCATAAATCTTACTTTTTCTTAAAAAAAATAACTAAACTTGCAAAAGTTTCAAAATTACCCTTAAGCCTTCAAAAAAAAATGTAATGGGTAATGTTATATGATGTAATATAAGCTTAAGTGTAATTTTTAAAAAAAATATTTATTATTTCAATTTTAAATTCATGTTTAGACGGAATTTTTCTCGGAAGTGGATTCTGAAGAACAAACAACAAAATCACGGGCCAAATTCGAGGAAATTATTCTAATGGGTAATATTATATGAGTCCGATCAACAAAAGTTCATGTAAAACTCATCACATAAACAGGCCGTTGATGGGTTTGAAGCAGTAAGGAAATGAAAAATCCTCAACAAAAAGGGAAACCAGGGAAATGCATAATAAAGACCAGAAAGCAGAAGATATTGTCCTGTTTCTCTGCTTCCTCCATAGCTGTTCTTAATGATGGCATTATTCAATCAAAACTGTAGCCAAAGTACTTAAATTAAGAGCCACACCTCTCTTAGTACCAACGGGAAGGGGCCAGGGACCAACTGTTTAGGAGAGGCAGGAGTAAGCCAAAGCCTTTTCCTCGGTCAGCTCCTCGGCGGTCAAGTCCAGTTTCTTCCTTGAGTATTCATCGATGGAAAGGCCTGGAGGATCCACAAAGGATCACAAACAAATGGAGGAAATCTCAGCATGGAGTTGCAGCATAAGAAATTAAAAAAAAAAGGAAATTCACCTCGCCTATTTTTTTTCTGTTCTTTTTACCATCCCACTTTGATTTGGGAGGAGAACTTTTATAAGGGGTAAAAATCTCTCCCTAGAGATAGGGTGGGTTCTAAAAACTTTGATAGAAAGCCTGAGAGGGAAAGTTCAAAGAGGACAATATGGTAGGCTTGGACTGTTACAAATGATATCAAAGCCAGACACCAGACGATGAGCCAAAGAGGAGGCTAAGCTCCAAAGGGAAGTGGACACGAAGCGGCGTGCCAGTAAGGATGCTGGGTTCTAAAAGGGGTGTCAATCCACCGGGGGCGTAGAGGACGCTGGCTCCCAAACGGGATGAGATTTTTAGATTCCACGTCAGTTGGGGAGGAGAACAAAACACTTTTTACAAGGGTGTGAAAAACTCTCCCTAAAAACCCGTTTTAAAAATCTTGAGGGAACCAAAAAAAAATCTACCATAAACTTAGAATTTATAGTCAAAAGAAACAGGGATGATGGAGCCCTATGTTAATTGGAGACCCTTTTTTTTTATAGTTAATTGGTTTCCCCATATTAATCAACTAAAAGAAAAAAGAGAACAATACCTTGCACAATTGACCATTCACCATTACGGCACGTGACGGGGAATGAGTACATCAGTCCAGCTGGTACATTGTATGATCCATCAGAATAAACTCCCATGGAAACCCAGGTGCCCTGGAACGAAATTTAGTTTTAATGAGCGCTCTGAGTCAGCAATTGAAATGCACAAAGTTCAAGACAAAGGCAAAATCACCAACCTCCGGAGTTCCAAGAACCCAATCACGAATGTGATCACAAGCTGCACTAGCAGCAGACAATGCACTTGAGAGCTTCCGGGCTTTGATGATTGCAGCACCACGTTGTTGAACAGTGCTAATAAACTCTCCATTCAACCTTCAATGGAAAACAACCATACCATTAATCTAATTGCATCCCATCGAACTTAGAGACGGATATTGTACAGAAACTCTACCATGCATCATCAGCAACAAGCTCGCGGACAGATTTCTCCTCCCCAGATGGTAACTTGACAGTAGCATGGTTGACATCAGGGTATTGTGTTGATGAATGGTTACCCCAGATAATAACATTCTTAACTTCGGATACTTGAACATTCAATCTCTCTGAAATTTGGCCCAATGCCCTGTTATGGTCCAATCTCGTCAAGCAAGAAATGTTTTTCTCCGGGATGGAAGGAGCAAACTCCTTCAAGATCAGTGCATTAGTATTTGCCGGGTTAGCGACAACCAACACCTGAAAGAGTTGGGAAACAAAGAGTCAGATGTCTGACCATTCAAACATAATGACTAAAAGGAAATAGAAAGAAATAAAACAACACGACTTTTCAGTAAAATTATTTAGAAAAATATTAGAATGCATGCACATTTCTTAGTCCAGTTCAATAGTTCAACTACAGTTCGTAACGTGTCAAACTCTTCATTCTATAAACTTCTGTTTTTTTGTTTTTTTGTGCTGTTTGGCTGCAGTTACCTACATCTTACAATTGCTTACCAAACATTGTTAGTGCTCAAAAAAACAAGTTTTGCTGGATTACGTAATGGAATTAAATTGATGCAAGTTACTTACCTTACAGTTGGCAGCAGCGTGCTTTTCAAGGGCAGAAGCCTGAGCCTTGTAAATGGAGACGTTTTTTGACATCACATCTTTTCTTTCCATACCCTCTTTCCTTGGGAATCCACCAACCATAATAGCAATGTTGACACCAGTGCATGCCTCCACCACATCAGTTGTAGCAACAACACCTATAACAATGCATCAATAAATAGTAAGAAAATCACAAAATCCATAGGAGTTTGTTCGATATTAGCCGAGAATTGTTGTTATAGGTTAGAAATTATGGATCTCCATAATATATGATAATATATGATAAAGCCAAGAATTGGTGTTATAGGTTAGGAATTATGGATCTCCATAATATATGATAAGTTTCAAGGGTCTCCCCTTAATTGAGGCTCGACTCCACTTTTGACTACACCTTTCAGGCTCACAATTCTTTGTTCGATATTTGAGGATTCTATTGTCGTGGCTAAGTTTAGGGCATGACTCTGATACCATGTTAGGAATCATGGGCCTCCACAATGGTACGATATTATCCACTTTGAGTATAAGCTATCATGGCTTTGCTTTGGGCTTCTCC